TAGGGATCCAACAAATTAAATTTCTTGTGCAACATGTTAATAGGGAGATTACATAACATAATAATGTCAGATACAGGATTATATCATGCATAAAATTTCAGACCCAAATGCTAAAAATACAACATAAATTAATCAATTTAAAATTTTAATTAATTAACAATAATAAATATTTGTAGTATTTTAAAATCTGAAAAAAATATCAAATTAATAGAAGATGTGAATTGGATAATTATAAAAGGATTAGAATTCATTCGGATTAAAGAAAATCTCGTAGGAACGGGAGCCAATGATAAATACTTTGAAATAGCTTATAGAAATATTGTATCAGTATCAAGACAAGTCTAATGCGAGTAATTGCATCAATCCCATCCATGAAATTTTCGGGAGAGTCACTCGCCAGAACATAGGATTCTATATAGCAACAATATGTTATTCCACTTGGATTTTATTTCTATTTTAATTTTAATTTTATTTTTATGAACTTTTATATTTTTACGTCTTTATTTGACATAACATTATTGTTTATGGAGATTCTTACCTACGACACTTCTTTATATGCCAATAAAACCAATGATTACTTCAAGATTTATGGACAGATGGTAATAGTGCAGTTTTCAATTTTTTTTTCGGTACTAATCGATATTAATAACATTCTAAATTTTGTTAAAGAGTTTTAGCGGAAAGAAAAATTTATCTTCAATGGAAGCAAGATTCAATATCGACGTAAAAAATTTTAATTACCAGAATTAAATCCGACAAAAGATTGATTATTAGCGAAAGACACAAATCTCCAAATTAAGTTCGTAGAAATTTTATATCTCTTATTTGAAAGGGATTACGACTATGTTTATGTTCATAAAAAAAACTGAAATCAATTTTTCATACTATTCCATTATCAAGAATTTAAGAGAAACTTTTGGTTAGGATTTCAAACAAATTACAAAATACATAGAAGCAACTATAATTCATACCTTAACTTGGTTTAAGATTACATACCCAAAACTAATTCTTCATCCATCTCGAATTTGATGTGTCTCTGGTATACGAAAAGATGAGAGGATAATCGCAAGAGATGAGAATGTTCTGCTCTCTGTTTGGAAAGTTATCAGAAGTTACAAAAGTGATCGTGTGTCAAAGTTAGTACTTGGTAGGATAACATATAACCGATTTCTCAGATAAGACTAGAGACCTCTCAATAGGTTTATTTAATAACCCGACTTATTACGGTTTATTAAAAGTATAACCCAAAGTAATATTATTCATTAATTGGTCAATAATAAAAATATAATTAAATAATAATTAATATTATAAATTATAAATAATTGATTATGTTAATCCATAATAATAATAATCTAACATAACCACCTAGGACAGTTATCATAGTATGTATATTTTACTTCCAGAAACTTTCTTACCATATGTGTCATCTTGATATTTAATTTGTAATTGAGATTAATTTGGTCACACCTTTTAATTATGTTCAATAATTTGAAATCAATTCTATCAAAAATAATTTTACTCAACGTATAAAACAAATAAGCACTAATTGACTGTCGAAATTATGTGGTTTTATAAGAGTTTCTTCTTTTTCTTTTAATTATTTTAATTCACAAACACTTCTATAAAATTTAATTCGTGTTCATCGATCATGCGTTTTTCAAGAAAAAATAAATACAAATTGTCCAAACAAAATGCAAGTGCAAATTAACATGATGGTTAACGGATGTGCATGGATATTGAAAGCACTAATCATTGGTCTCCTACGAAATAGAGATCAAAGAAATGGATTTTCTTTTTCAGTGAAAATTTCACATGCCTGGAAAGCGATCAACAAAGAAAATATTTTTTCAACAAAAACCTCTCGACATTTTTTAAAAACTATTTTAAAGAAAAGTTAATTCAAATAGATATCTTGTTTGTCAAGTTCACTGTCCAAAGGTAAGCGAATGACACAAAGAATGAGGAAAATTTACAAAAGCCAGTCAACAGAAGTATAACTTTTCATTGTTCTAATAATTTGCAATTGGTCTCTATGCTGAGTCACCGCTTTGCCTCAAAAATCTGTCAGATCTATGGTGATCACACTTATATAAGTAGGATCGCCTTAGTCCGATCAAATCTGAGCAGTTCAAAAAAATAAATTAATTAAAATAACTAATTGAATTGGTTTTGTTTAATTATATTTCTAAGTTTAAATCAAATAAAGTCAAATTTTTTTATTTTATTTATATATCACAAGTCTGTAAGCTAATTTGCATTTATGTTTTACCAAAATTAATCGATCCAAATTAAGAAGGTTAATGAGTAAGGTATTATAGTATGTATTCATATGTTTGTGTTTTAATACTTGTCTTCACTCTTGTCTCAATATAAATAGTAACTTTAATTTTCATATATGTAATCTTTGGATATTCGCATAATCATACCCTTGTTTATTTAAGAAAAAAAATATTTATATAATTTTACATAAATAATATAATAATACAAAAAATTAATATGTAATTATCAAACAAAGTCTAAATATAAAAAAAATAAATATTTAAATAACACAAATATTAAATGTATCTTAATACTTCAATTTTTTAAATTAAAATATTTAAAAACTATAAATACTAAACAAATATAATTTTTAAGATCTTTTAAAACAACTAACTCATAAATTTAAGTCTTATATAAACACTTTCTAAAACTTGAAAAAAAAATATTAGTTAATTATTTATTATAAAGTTAAAATAATATAAATAATTAGACTATTTAATTTTTCATTAAAATTAAAGTCTTCAAATAACTTAAAATAAAAATGATAATAAATATAATAATATAGTACTTATCCCAATACTTGTTTTAAAAATATATATATACCTAGTTTATGCTCGTGTATATAATAATTTTAAATTCTATACTTTTACTCTTTAGATACCAACATATTCATACTTACATTTATTATCTACGCTTATTCAAAAAAATAAATATTTATAAAAAAAGCATACTTATATAACTTTACGCAAGTAAAACAATACTACAAAAATTAAATATATAATTGTTAAACAAAATATAAGTATCAATTAAAAAATATTGATATTTTGTTAGGAATAAAATAGTTTGGCTTAAAATAGTTCTTGCTTTATTTTTACCCTTTTTTCTTGTAATTTCTGTATCATGGCCAATTTACGAGCAATCTCGTTCTTGTGACTCGTACATATCTTCTAAACCTGCGGTAAGCAATTAATTAATTTACATCATGTGCCTCCGCGTTTTGCCACATGCGTCCTTTCTTACTTCTAATATCTTCTTTATCCTCTAATCTGAGCATGATATGTGACTAAAATGTAGCACTTCCTCTCATGATAGTATTCTTTTAACTTGCTAAAATGTTATCTTTTTTTAACCATAATGACAAGCAATGGAAATAGGTGATTCAATTCCCAATTTTGCAAATTCAAGGAAGAAAGTAATTGAAACTGATTTCTGAAAGTCTTTCAAGTTATACACTTGTGTTTTGTTTTCATTCTTAGACTTGGCAAGGTACACTGCGCTATAGTAATGCTATTGCCCATCAATAAACGAGTTTTAAAAGACAATGAGTAGAGCGTATATATAAGTGAAATTTCTATGCATTGAGTCCTATACGGGTATTTGAAACTATAACTGCGTCGTCAAATCTTATATTTAATAATGAAAATTTTAACTTCAATTTTTGGATTTCATTTAAATAACTAACAATAATAAATTTAATTAAAATAATATTACACTTTTATATCTTCAATGTGCTTATTTTTAATAAAAATATATTACTTTTAAATGCTTGAATTCAATCCTAAAGATTAAAGTTAACAAAAAAATTTCATAATAACAACACAAGATTAAATAATAACAAAAAAATACGCTATAAAATTAAACGAACCAAGTTTTGGTGATAATTTTTCCAACCACATGCAACTATGCAAGCAAAATAGGTTTCCAGAAATTGGACTAACCAAACATGTTATTAAATCATGCAATCAAACCTCCTACACAATATTAATTTGAATATTGGATCTCCAACAAATAAACTTTGATTTCTTATAAGGTTATTAAGACAGCATTATGTTACAAATGGGGTAGTTAAAAATTGTTAATTAGAAGTTTGGGTTAGTTTTTCAACATCGAAAATTTCTCTTTTAAGATAGTTTTGATTTGATGGCTACTTCCCCTGGAGTTTATTTATAAGAAGGATCAAGCAAATAAGAGGCTTAATTTCAATACCGAAGTTTTGAGATATTTAAAACACTTGTCTAACTACAAATTAATCATTAAGATTATGATTCTAATAATACAAGTATAAATGGAGAAGATTTAAATTGTAAATTTAAGTTGTAAAACTTTGTTAGCTCTAATTACAAAGTCCATAATTTTCAATACGTTAGATAAAAGTGTTTAAGAACATTTTTTGTGCTGGCGAATAACCAACAGACAAGGAAAATAAAAGTTCTAAAAAATTTTGAGATAAATTTCTATTTACACCCTCTAAGGTTTTTGTTCAATGCCTCTCCTTTTTATTTAATTACTTTAACCTCCCATAATTAATATATAAGAAATCAAAGGTGATTTGTGTAATAAAAATAGTATGTAATATTATTTTGTTACATAAATTTAGAGAGATCTGTGTAGTATTTAAAGAAAAATAATATCAAGTAGAATTTTAGTAAACCTCAACAATATAAATATAATTTATTCAAACTTTTAATAGCCAATATGGCATATGAGCTGTTTACCAAAAACGAAAAAAAAAAATGCAAAATGCCATATTGGCTTTTCTTTTCTTGGTCCACAAATTGAGTGGGAACTTATTCAACGTGTCTGTGATCTACGATGCTAATGCCATGAAATTAGGTCCTTTCTTTCGCTTGATTTATTTAATTTTTATATGTTTTGGAAGAACGCAGAGAATAAGTTCCGTTCTCTGATTGTTGCTAAAATGATAAGACGACTTTTATTCAGGCCATATTTCAAAAAGCATAATTGAATGCTTATTTTATTTCTCCACTACAGAGGGAGGGAGGAGCCCCAGTCCCTCCTCGCAATGCCCATAAAAGGCCTTCAATACGCACCATGCAACTGCAAGGAAACAAATCAGAAGTGAGTAATTTTTGTTTTGTGGGGTCAAACAGAAGTGAGTAAGATCAACTATTCCAATGGCTTCTGCTCAGTGTCAGAAACCCAATACTACTGTTGAAGTGTGCCAACCTAAATGCCAGAACAAACCCAATACTAAAGTTGAAGCCTGCCAACCCAAAAGCCAACATAGCTCGTTCGGCCAAAAAGTTTCTGAGATAACTAGCAAGGCTTTCAAGGGGCACCACACCCGTCATGCCAGCAACCAAAATCAACTTCAATGCTTTAGCCAAAATCAGATTGAGTCACATGGCCACAATGGCTCCAAAACCGAGAGTCACTTCTGTGGCCAAACTCAGACCCAGCATGACAAAAAACATGGTGTCTCCAAAACCCAGATCACAGTTACCATGGTCCAAGCACAAATTACCCATACCGACCAAGACCCTTCTGCTTATGGTACGACTACAAGTTGCTTTGGGGCTCATGCCAAGAAGAATGGAGAGCTCAACAATAAGAAAGAAAGGAACTTGTTCCAGAGGATTAAGAATGGCATATCCCGCCACAGCAATAATGAAGGAAGTAGCAGCAGCAGTGACAGTGAGAGTGACGATGAGAAGTGCCCAAAGACAAAGGCAGGTGCACTTAAATGCACAAGTGTTCTCCATTCTCCTAAAATATAATCACTCGGAAACTAAAATTTTGCATATTAAATGCATGCATGCTGGGTTAGAACAAGTATTTTGTTTCATTGATGACTCGTTTTACTTCTCTGTTTTTAATTGCGTCTGCAGAATTGATGATATGAGAGGCTGGCAAGCCGGGCGCAACTAGAAGAGCTTGCTCAACGAAAGGAAGAACATGCTTACAAATAAAATGCCCTGTGATTTGATAATGCTATTCTTGAACCCAAAATAGTTGGAGGAAATAAATTCCAACATTTCACTTGGCTGTTTACATTATGACCAATAATGTATCTTGAAGTTTACCTACTTTTACTGGTCTGTTCTACGGCAGGATCTTAAAGTTACCCTGTTAATGAATGTGTGTTTGGATTAGAGTTTGTAAAACTGAGTAAACTTGATTTGCGTAATTGATTTTAATAAAAAGTGTTCAAGTGAATTGATTTGTGTTTGGGAACATTTTCAAGTTATTTATAAGTACAATGAACGTTTTTGTAGTGTTAATGATATGAGGATATTTTGGTCAATGCACCTTCAACTGCATTTTCCATCATTGCAATAACAAGAATATTGCTTTTGTGGTTAGACAATACCATACTTTTGATGTAAAATCAATTTCGCTTCAAAATTGATAAACCTGTTGGCACAAATTTCAAACTTCAGTTATGGCATGAAACATGATTCTCTAGGATAAAAATGCCTATCCAAACAAGTGCTAACATGGACACATGAAACTGCTATTAGCTAAACTAACACAAGTAGGTTAATCAATTCTGTCAGCGAGAAATGAATGCATGTCTATTCTACTGGAATGAAAAGAAAAAACAAATCCCAAAATAAAATTACAGCCCACCTACAAGAACAAGACATAGATAACTATCAAGCAAGATGCAACAAACTGTATATACAAATCTTGATACACTACAGAGCGCAACATATGGTAGGGGCATACATCATCCTTCAAGGGTACTGGAAATGTAAGTGGCAATGGTCCGCACAGCAACATCTTCAGCTTCATGTTGGGTGGAATTGTTTGCTTGCAGGTGCTTCTTAGCAATCTTGAAAGAGTGGTCGCCACCATCAATGACATGTAGCTCATTGGGTGCTTTCATCTTCTGCCTAGTGGCTTGTAACTTGTCAAGTGGACACAGAGCATCCTTGCTGCCCTGCACAAGACACACACAAAAGACTAGAATTAGGAGAGATATATTAACACTAGCACAATACAAACAATCTATGCGGGCATGAAAGATGACCATACTGATAAAAATTGAAAAATTAGACGGTTCATTCAACAAATCAACAGACTGTGAAACTGGAGTATTATGACTTCAAGACTACAGCAGACCACAACGGTTATTGACAAATTAGAAAAGAAAAAGTTACCTGTACAAACATTGTAGGAACTGTTAGCTGTAACAATGTTTCATCTCTGACCGCACCATTGATTCCCTGGAACATGCCAAGTAAATTAATGTAATTCTTAGTTAAGTAATTTAAAATCTTTACTTTAGTCGTAATGTTTACTGTTACACGAAGACACCCCCAGAAAACCAATTCATCAACTATAATGGCTCATGTGGCATGCCAAGAATTGCCCAAACAGAAGAAAACCAAGTCTCACAAGTGCAAATGATACAGCGAGCCAGGAAGAAATGAAAAGGAAATATTCAAAGGAGTAGCACAGTAAGGATTATTGGTTTTAGAGCTCCATGCCACATGCTCCAAGGACGACGAGTTTATCAACTAAGTGAGCAAACTAGCTGCCAAGCATAAGGCCAAAATGCCATATGAAGTGAAATGCCAGAGAAGGGCATATTTAGAGATTCATGAGTAAACTATAATTAGCAGCAAAAGGGACAATTGGATGTTGAATTATCAAGAAAACCACAAGTGAGGCAAGGAGAACGCCCTAAGATAAACAAATAGTTCAAAACCACCTTCAGTACTTCAACTCCAAGGGAAAAGGGGCAAACAACCACGCGCAATCAGTTTATCTTGTAGTGCAAAGATTGGCATGATATATATATATATATATATATATATATATAAGAACATCAAACCTTCAATGGGTAGCCCAAGCATACTACAGCAGAAACATTAATGTCTTCCATGCTAGCCACCATGCAGCCAACTCTACAACAAAATAAACACGATATACATCATATCACAAACATCTCGTTTCTAATAATCTTAATTAGGACCTTCCCAGTCCAAAATTAAAAATTACAACATACCTTGACCCCATTGATTTGCCTGCAAGTATGAGGGGGTGACCAGGGTACTTAGTTTCAGTTTCCTTGACAATATTTGAGTGAAACTCCACCAGTTTTTCTGCCTTAGGAGGAGCCTTCTTTTTCCCCGACATGTCTAGCAAATGCAAAACCCATTAAATTCATCTCAGAGTAAACACATACATTAGACAACACAAGGAATTTAGTAAGAAACAAACTCACAAGGATAATCAAAAGTGACAACATCAACAGCGTGCAGTGCCTCCTTCAACATATTCTTCCACCTATTTAACCCCATTTTTTAATTTTCAAAATTAAAATTAAAATCCACCTAGTTGTGTGGAAGGAGCGACAAGTAGTTTAAAGCTTTAACAAAAGAGAGAAACGTGACCTTTGCATCCAATCAGAAGAGGAAGGAGCGCCAGCACCATGAGCGAAGATCACTACCGGTGACAACTTTTGAAGCGTTGAAGCTTCAACCTCGCCGTCTTTGCTATCACGACGTCGCTTTGCGGGAGGTAACGAATCCATGCCTTCGCAATGCAAAATTCCCCAAAATAAAAAACGCTTTTGTTGTAATCTTAACCCTATCCCACTTAATCTCACTCCCCCCCGCCACTAATTACCCATTTTCGCGCCAAATGTTAGGAGAGAGAGAGAGAGAGAGAGCCGTATAAACCTTCATGTTTCGGAAAATATTTTTAAGAAAATCATCATTTTTTAATTTTTCTCAACAAATATGTAATGAATCACTTTAATATAAACTATGTTGAATATCTACTTAATTAATTATTTTGTGGAAATATTATATTAAATGTTTATTTAACTAGGTTCAAATAATTTAATTTTATTATAATTTTTTAAAATTATGAAAATTGTTGATCACTGGCAAATAATTTTAAACATTAGTTTCGTAAACAAACGACCGATTTTAAACAGCTTTAAAATATGTCTTCAGATATGTAATTATGTCAGTGTCAAAACAAGTAGAGGTGAATTTATCATAAATTGAAAAATAAAAAAAGAAGAAGATTGAAGCGGTCACTTTGAAACAAGTGTTTACTTGCTATATTATAAACAGGCCAAGTCATTATGGATTTTCATAGTGTTTATTTGTTTGAGTTTGATTATGATGATTATGACACCTGCTCTTTTAAGTATAAAGGATAGGATATTTTTTTTCCCACAAATTTCGAATACGTTTAATGGAATTATTTCTTGTTTTCTCTCAACTTACAGTTGCAGTGAATGATAGGTAAATAATATATAAACTTAGTTCTTCTGGATCGCACGAGCATCCTAGTATTTATTTATAGTGATAAAGGGATAACAAAAATTATTACTTTTAATTTTGAATAATATTTTTTTACATGTATTTATGTAAAATTAAATAAAACAAATAAGTGATAAAATAATTTATGCATTATTAAATACAGCACCAAGTTTTTAATTTTAAAAAAAGAAAGCTAACTTTATCTTCGATTCTAAAATACTCTTTTGCAGGCATAATAAGATCCCACATTAAATCAGTTCTTAATCTGAATAGAAAACCATGCGTTGATAGCCATTCTTAATCTAATTTTTAAAGGAGAATATTTAATAGTAGCATGATTTCATTTGAGATCAGTAAATAAACAATTTCTCTTTTCTCATGAATAAACTCAAACACCTTCCCTTACTTGGTTAGTTTTTATCCTGTTAAAAATAGTAGCAAATATATTCGTTCTAAATAGCAACACTGGAATTTAAAACTGGTGACTTTGGCAAACAAAAGCATTATAACAAAATTTATCTAACCAAATATTTAACTTCACCCTCATAAGAAAAGAGAGAGGGACCATAGAAGGACCGTAGAAGATAATGGATCCGGATCCTCTGCAATGTTGGCGGGAACTGCAGGGAGTGTAGTGCGTTTTTGCTTAAGCGACAAAATTCGCTTAAGCGAATTTGAATCAATTTTGCTTAAGCTTGGAAGAAGGCTTAAGCGAATAGAGAAAGGGCTTGACAGCGCGCCCAAGCGAGTCACAAGAAAGCAAAATCATGTCTCGCTTAAGCCCCTACTTTCGCTTAAGCGATTTTAATTTAGCTTAAGCCCTTCCAAGAGAAAATAATTAAACCTAAGCGAAAATGGACCAGAGAGGCATGTATTTCAAGCACTCTTTTCGCTTAAGCGGAACCTAAATCGCTTCAGCAATTATAAATTAGCTTAAGCCTTGACAAGCGATTTTAATTAATATTAAGTGAATTTCAGGCAGAGAGCAATGATTCAAACATAGAAAATAGCTTAAGCGAATTTAAATTGGCTTAAGCGAATACTTTCAGGGCTTGAGCCCAGATTTGAATTTTTCAGAATATGTGAGCTTAAGCGAATATATCAGAAGTTGAAAAAAATTATGTAGACATAGACAGCATGTAACAAAATGTCTTAAGCGGAGATTAAGTGGCTTAAGCGAATAGTGGCAAGGCTTGAGCCAAAAATTTAATTTCCTTGCGTATCTATATTCGCTTAAGCGATTTCATGGGCTTAAGCGAATAAATAAGAAAATGCAAACATTTTGCAGTAACAGACAACATGCAAGGGGGCTAAATACACTGGATTACATCTGTTCTTCAACATACATCTTCCACAAAACCAATTTATAATGACTTTGGCACGATTGTGAATAAATATTAAAATTCATCAATGAAAAAGTATAGAATTCAGCATTGGGAAAGTAAAGAGAAAATGTATTACATAACAGAAAATGTTTAGGCATTGATATCCATTACAATAAAATCATGGGTCTCCTATATTATCCTCTTCTTGCATTGGTTGTGGCCCATCTCCCTCATCATGTCTCCCTTCTTCCTCTAAGTTTTGATGTTGTTGTACATCTCCCTCTTGATGATTGTCAATGTCCTCATTGGCTCCTTCATCTGGATGTGATACATGATCTTCTGGAGTTTCTTCTTGAGCTGGAAAGATAGGGTTGTCTCCAGGCCACGATACAGTCGTTGCAAAAAGCTCTGGTGTTGGCCATGGAAAAGCAGATGGTTCACCATGATGTTGATGTAGAGTGAACCTGTGGAAAGAGAAAATCAGGCATAGTTGCATAATTGATTAGATATATTAAAATATTAAATGAGAAAATGGCTAACTTGTAGAATGACTCATTCAACTGAGTGTAAGCGCGATTGGTTGCTGCCAATTGTTGCTCTATGTGGGTTAGATGGCATAAGACACTTGAATCCGTTTGTGGCATGTCAGGCATGAATGGTTGTGTTGGCTGTGATGTAAGTGGTACAGATGAGGAGGGTTGAGAGGAAGGTCCTGCAGGCTGTTCCAATTGATTGGTGCAATAATTTCTGATGAACTGGGAATTGATTGGTTTCTTCAAACTGATAGTTTGAGCGGCGCTCTCTGGAATGATAACGCTTTAGGAAGCACATAAAGCAGTGATGAGTGCTGGAAATCCCAAAGGTTTTGTTGCTGATGCAGTAGAGGAGGTGTTGGAAATAACAAATTGGTGCAGCTCATCTAAAATGATTGCTGCAATGTCAACGGATATCCTTTGCATGATACTGTATATGAGATATGCTCGAGGCATCCGAAGATCTGAGGTGTGTGTGGTTGGGGCAATGTTAGCAAAGAGAAATGATGTCCAGATTTGGGCCAAAGTATTCAGAGATTGTCTTTTGAACCTCATTGGCTTCCCAGCAGCATTTGTTTCATATGATTTTCCAGGGATGCATAAGGTCTCAGCTACCCTATGATCCAAAAAACCTGAGAATCGCTTTCAGCGTTGCTTGTATTGGCATAGCTCCCCTTCTTCTAAGGTCAAAGGGTTGCCTAACAAGGCTGAAATTGCATCTCTATCATAAGCAACTGGGTGCCTTCGAACCCAAGATCTCCTTTCTGACCTTTCTGGTATCAATGGCCAAGCATTTGCATAAAACTCTTTGACGATTACGTCATTAATTTGGTTGGGGAGATTTGCTAAGAATTCCCATTTTCTTCTCCTAACCTCTTGCATAAATTCTTTATACTCTCCTTCTTGTAAAGCTACCTTTCTCTCAGGTAGCAATTCTCTAGCCTGTAAGTCAATAAATCTCTGAGCCTTGGCCCTGGTTTTGAACCTATATCTATCCCATGATATGACTTCTGTTTGTGTTTGTGTTTGAGTTTGAGGTGGTGAATGTTCATGTTGATCAATAGGTTCATCACGCTGTTGTGAAGTTTGGCCAACTTCTGGTCTCTGCCTCTTTCTTTGAGGAATGGATTTTTTTGGTGCCATCCTGCAATCGAAACCAGAATAGAAATTTCAGTTAAAATCGCTTAAGCCTAATGTGTCGCTTAAGCAAAATTATGTCACCCAAGACCTCCTTTCTCATTTGCATTTATTCACTTAAGCTGACATATTCGCTTAAGTGACTCATTTTTGCTTAAGCGTAAATGAGTCGCTTAAGCGAAAAATACAGACAGACAGCAAGGTAAGCTCAAAGTGACATTTTATCCAACAAAAATATTTTCAATCAGCCCAACATTAAAATAAAAGTTAAAAAATGCATCTCTTTTAATATAAATGAAACAAGGGTTATATACCCATACAAAAGTTCACAAATAACACGAAGGGGAAGACCCCATAATACAATGGAAGAAATGTAAATGAAACATAGTAATAGGAGAGATACAATGGTTTAGGGTTTAGGTTTTGTACCTGAGGAAACAATTTTCTGGACGGTTTGAAGCTGTGGACTACAGGACAGAGGCTTGCTTAGCTTAAGTGAGTAACAGAGAGTTAAAATGCAGAAATGAAAGGAAAGGAAAGGAGGAGATTCAATCTTATGTAAAACCAACAGTCGCATAAATCGCTTAAGCGGATATTTCGCTTAAGCGATAATTCACTTAAGCGATAGTATAAGCGATAGTTATCGCTTAAGTGAATTATCGCTTAAGCGAATTACCTAGCGACGTCTCGCTTAAGTGAATATGGAGGCTTAAGCGAGTTTTACAGAAGAATTGGCGCCAAATATAATGTATTGGCGTATTTCTTAAGAAAAAGGCTTTTCCTAATGTTAAAAATGATGAAACACTGAGTAGATGATGTTCTTAGAAGCTTTGATAAAGGAAGTTCCCTGGTGAGGGGGTATTTTGACAAGTTCATATCATTTGCTCGCCATTTTGGGAAACTTTTTGACAAATATCATTTTCAAAGAGATAAGGCGTAAATAAGGTACACCTTTACTCCATAATATTTTTAATGCATATGATTACAAAAATGAATATAGCTCATCTTTATTATTATGTTATTGGAGTATAGAGATAGTCACAAAGATGGATGTCCCAACGAAACCAAGTGTCGGATTAGAGTTTTAGAGTCTTGAACAAGCATGGCAATTTTGGTGTGAATATGGAAGGCTAACAAGATTTGGAGTGAGGAAACAATACTTTAATAAGCGAAAGAGAGATGGTGTCATTACGGGTTGCAGATATGTTTGTTGCAAAGAGGGGCATCGAAAAGAAGATAAAAGGGATTCACAAGTGACAAAGCATCGACAAGAAACTAGAACTGAATGTCTTTCCAGAATAGCATTGTCTTTGGCAAACAATAATAAATATGTCATTCA